ATGAGAAACTTGTTATTGCATTCTTTGCCTTTTTAAGTTTACCCAAAATCCATTTCCTACGTTTTAAGTGTACATACATACTCGTATATACATACATCTCTGTGTATTTGCTGCTTGTATTTGTTGGACGACCCAAAAAAGGCATTCACTTTACGGTTTAAAGCCATAAAACCGCAAAAGCATTAAATCAGCTACCTTGAATGCAGTTTTTCTATGGAAAAGAGAAAAAAGAAAAGATATAAACTCAAAGTTGTTGGTGTTGCAGATACATAAATAGTAAGACGAAACGGTGAGATTATAAACAAAAATAATTAATTTTTTCGAATAACCGTCTAGTGTATATTAACTGGTTTTTAATCATTTCCAAAGAATTTAAACATTTTTGAAGTGAAAAATTGTCTACTAACTATAAACATACATATATATATATGACGGTAAATTTTATATACTGCGGAATATTTTGATATCTTTAAGCGGATTCATGAGCAATGTATTTATATGTATTTAATTTCAGCGGAAAAGGAAGAGTAAAAATTTTACAAAAAAAAAGTTCAAAAATATCACATATTAATATGTATGAGAAAATTATGAATTAATGTTAAATTTTAGAAAATTAATTATAATAAAAGACAGCAGAGCTGCTTTAAATATTAAAATTATGACATTTCCTTCATTCTCGTTTCTGAAAAATTGGTTTTAGCCGGCTATATGAAGTGTTCGATGATTTTCGGTGACAATGTTTATTTGTACAGATGTACATATGCACTCGTGGAAAACATCAGATTTTACGCTTGTGGTATGCGGTTTTGACAGATTTTTTACCCAAATTCTAACATCTGAACAAAACGGTTGTATAGCTCCTATATATTTATATATTATATATATATGATATAGTTTGCGATGATGATGCGCTAAATATACATATAATAATATTACGTGTTTCAAATTTCACTCTCTTAGTTAACTCTTTGGTTGATTTTATATACAAAGCCTTATATATATGGACTAATCGGTTGTATGGAGACGAAATGATATAGTTTTCCAATAAATGATCAAAACAGTGCAGAAAATACATAGGCCAACTAAGTGTGGTTGAAATTTGTCACAAAAGGTGAGATTGGTGAGATTAGATTGCGTTCAAACAGACGAAAAGACAGGCACACGGGAATGGCTAAATCAACTTCTGATCGATACATTTTGGGTGCGTCTCTCTCTTTTTTTCCTGTCACCAAAGTTCATTTTTGGAATCTAATTTAAAAAGCTAACTTTCAATCTGAATTTTCAAATAACTAGTTTAATAATCAGGCATAATTTTTTATTTGTTTTATTCAATTTTATTTTGTTTTTCTCATTTTTTTCATATAATATTAATATATGCTATTTTATCTTTTATTTATTTATTAAATTAAACAATTTTATTTTATTTGAACTTTATTCTTTTTTACTTGGTTATATTTATTTATATCAATTTATTATATATGATTTTATTATATTTGATTTTATATATTTTTGGTATTTATTTCTTTATTTTTTATCTATTTTTTTCTTTATTTTATTTCATTTTGTATTCCTTTGTTTTATTTATTTATTTTATTTTAGATTATAAATTTTATTTTATTTTTTTTTCTTGAATGCTATTTTTTGTTTGTTTAATTGTATTTTATTTTATTATATTTATTTTAATTTATTTAATTTAAAATTTTATTTTATTTTTTCTATTTTGTTTTATTTTATTTTAGTTTATTTTAATTGATTTTGGCTTGAGTCATGGTTTTTATTTTTTTGTATCAACTTGAATTAATTTAATTTAATTTTTATTTTATTTTATTTCTTCTATTTTCTTTTATTTCATTTATTTTAACTTATTATGTTTAATTTAATACGATTTAGCTTACTTTAGTTATTTATGTATATTTTTATTTTATTATATTTGATTTCAGATTATAATATCCAAATTTTTAATTTTTAATTTAATGCTATTTTTGCTTTTATTTCTAGGGTATTACTTGTATTTGGTTGTACTTTATTATATTTATTTTAATTTACTTTAATTTATTTAATTCAATATTAATTATAGTTTTATTGTAAATTTTATTTTAATTCTTCTATTCTGTTTTATTTCATTTTATTTAATTTATTACAATAAATTTAATTTGATTTAACTTACTGCATTTTACATTATATTATATAAAATTAATCCAATTTATTTTATCTTATTTATTATATTTAATTTAGTTTGATATAATTTAATTAAGTTTACTTTACTTTGTTTAAGTTTAGTTTGTTTTATGAAATATTCTTTTATTTTTTTACTATTTATTAAATCTGCTTACTTTATTCTTCCTTTACATGGTTGTATTCATATATATTAATTTATTATTTGTAATTTATTTTAGTTTATTTAAATAAAATATTATTTAGTTGGCATTTATTTACTCAGTTTATCTGTTTTTGTATTTAAAACTAAATTATTTTGTTCTTTATTTGTTTTTATTTTGTATTCTTCTGTTTTGTTTTATTTATTTTTTTTATTTTATATTATGTTTTATTTGACTTTTTAAATGAACGCTTTTTTTTTTAATTTTGTTTAATTATTATAATTGTATATTATTTTGTTTTGTTTTATTTTATTTGATTTATTTTAATTTACTTTAATTTATTTAATTTAGTTTTTATTTGATTTTATTACTTCTGTTTTGTTGTATTTTATTTTACTCTAATTTATTATATTTCATTTAATTTAATTTAATTTGCTTTATTTCATATTATATTATATAACATTATTTAATTTAATTTGATATAATTTAATTTATTTTACTTTCCATTTTTTATTTAGTTTATTTTATATAATTTTTTCATTTGGTTTAATTTTTTGGATATAATTTTATTTTATTATTTTTATTTTTTTTGTTTTGAGATATTTTAGTATCATATTATTACTATTATAGTTTTTTTTGTATTTTATATTGTTGAATTTCATTTTATTTTAAATTACGTTTTTTAATATTGTTTTACATGAATTTATTTTGTTCAGTTAGTTTTTATTGTATTTCGTTTTATTTTAGTTTATTATATTATATATAATTTAATTTGATTTAATTTACTTTATTTTATATTATATTATATTAAATTATTTAATTTAATTTAATTTATTTATCATATTTAATTTAATTTGATTTAAAGTAATTTATTTCACTTTACCTTGTTTTAGTTTATTTTGTTTTATGAAAGAGATTTTTATTTATTAAATTTTTTTTATATATTGTTTAATAATATTGTATTTTTATTTTATTTTATCTTTTTACAATATTTTATTTTATAATTTTTAATCTAATTTTTTTTTTTTATTTTGTTTTGATGTTACTTGTTTATTTTTTGGCATTCCGTTCATTTTTTTATTATAATTAACTTAACTTTATTCTTTATATTATTTTATTTTAATTATTTCTTTTAAATAATTTTTTTTATTTTATTTTTATTTTTTTTTTTTTGCTTTTTTTATTTTATATTAATTTATTTTATTCTAGTTTATTATTTTAATTTGTTTAATTTATTTTATTTGTTTAATAAAATTTCCTCAACTTTTGATTCTCACATTTTTCTGATTTTTAAAACAGAAATATCAAATCATTTTAAGTTGAGAGTAGAAAAAAGTCAAAGCTACAATATTGCTGACAGGAAGACAAATGTGTAACCTCTTGTTAGGCCAACAGGTTTTCGCACAGCTGCTCCTTTAAGTGCACTCAACGCAGTCGAACTCATAAGTGGCACACCTACACAGTGAAAATACAAAATTTAAGCAGACACATTTTGTAGTACTTGTCGGCGCATTCCCTGTAGGAAATATGCTTCATTGTAACAAAAAAAAAATATATATACATGATTCTATTAATAGTTAATTAAAGTATAACATAAATATTACTAGTATTGAGTTAATAGAGACAGCAGCGCTGATATAGCATCGCATTGAGAGAGAGACATGCCACTTTACTGCAAATATTTCACCAGTGCTATTCATTATTCTCTATATTCCTGTTTACCCTTGCCTTTTTTCTTTGCACTTCTTACGCGCATCTTCTACACCTCTTTCATCCTTGCTTTGCTCAAGCTTAATGTGGTTAACTTGTAGGTTAAGACTAGTCACGTACTCATACTACAAAAACTCGCAGAGACTCCTCTGCAGTTTCAGCTGCAACTTTAATAAAGTCCAATTATTTTTGTGCAACTTTGCAGATATTTTTTTGTTTTTTTTTCTCCTGCTTATTCTGTATCTTCGTAAGTGCGAGCATCCCACAATCGCCACAATTGATTGCAGCTGCTTCGACAGGTTTATGTATATGTGTAGGAATGTATGTAACACAAAGAAACACGGAGAATCACTATTTGCATTCTTCTTCTTCTACTTGCCACTTCACTTTGCAACTGGAAAGTTACAAAAACGATATTTTATGTTGAATTCTTACAATTCTTGCTTATTCCCATTACTCTTTTGTTTGCAAAAAAAAAAAGTATTGCTGTTGTCAGCACATGAGAGTGCAGGGAATTGCATCAATTGTTCGGCAGCTGTGTCGAGCTGAACTGAGCTGAGTTGCATCTTTAATGAGTAGTGAAGGTGACAAGGGATCGCTTTGACTTTGTTGGAGAAGCAAATCAATTGGGAGGGTTGAAGGCTTTTGCGTTGGTAGAAATTTATTGATGCCTTTTAGAATTGAGATCTGAGTAGGCAGTTCAAAGAAAGTTAAGAGTTTTTTTTTCATTTTATGAGTGAAAGATAATTACAAAGGCTTTGGAGTAGATAGAGTTATTGTGGCTGCAATGAAGAATTGAATTATGCCCCAGAGAATTAAGTAGTGATATGGGGTTGCATTTTCATTTGCTTTACCTTGTATTTATATATGTCAAAATATATTTTAAATGAATTATTTTTCCTAACATTTTAACTAAATATTTACAAACATATTCTTCTTCTTTTTTCAGGTAAGCACACTTTTACATGCCAGAAAAACTTTACCAAGTGCTTTGTGAGTGTATATTTAAATTTCCAAATTATTTATACTAAATTCAAAAATATCAAAATTAAAAATTTATAAAAAAATATTAATTTACCTAGTAAAATAATTTTTCTTAAAATAAACACACAAAAAAATAAATTTGGAAGTTTTAAAAATTTTTAAATATTCATAAAGTTTTTTTATGCTGCAAAATTTATTTTTTATTAATAGTTTTTAATCTTATTAGTTTAAAAGAGAAGAAACTAAATAAATATAAACTTAAAATAAAAAAAAGGAAAAAAAGCCAAGAGAAAATTCAAATAATTGAGATTGAAAAAAAAACTGAATTGTTGTTGTTTTATGGAACGAAAATTTTTCTAAGTTAAAAAATAAAAAAAAAAATCTCCTAGAAATAATATAAAAATAAAATATTGTTATATATTTTAAAATTTGCAAAATTTCTTAAAAAAATAAATATTTCATTTTGGAAAATTAAAAAATAATATAATAAAACAAATAATCTTTATTTTTTGCTTTGAGTAATAAAAAATATAAGAAAAAATTATTCGAATAAAAAATTTTATTTTCTTAAAATGAAATAAAAAAGTTTGGAATTATAGAGATCTGTCTCTTTTTCATATCCTCAAGCTGTCTCAATTGCGTACGATATAACTCAAAAAAATCCAAGAGCAACCAAATCATAAATATTATTTGAGATATTTAGAACGAGTTTTTTCGAATTTTTGTAAACATAATGTTTATTTTGGTTTTATAAGCATTTTTTGTTTTTTTCCTTATATATATATTATTAAAAATAACCATAATTCGTTATATATATATATTTAACTACTCTTTTTAAACCAAAAAAAAAAATAATTATAATTTATTTCTGCTAATAATAAAAGACTAAAGTTTTCTAAAACTCATATCTCTCAATTATCATAATGACAAGCGCATGGTAATTGAAATTGGACTTAAGCTAACTAAAATTAAAATTTAAATAAAATGCTTACAGAAATGTGAATAAAGATACAAAATAATAAACAATATTACTTAAAAAAAAGTTTTGAAAAAAAAATATTAAAATATAATCAGTATAATTCTAAAAAATATTCAATTTTAGCAAAATAGTTTGTAAAAATAATTTTTTTTACTACAGATTTTAATGAAATATTATATTTCGTACCATTGACGTTTTTCATTTTTTGCTATTACATACGTACAACTTATTATTTCCTTAGCTTTTTATTATTTTAAGAAAGTCAAATCATTTAAGCTACCCGAACACCTACGTACCTCGACGCCTTTACCCAAAATCAGCAAAATACCTTAAAAACGTACTAAAAAATATGTTCCCAGCAACCACAAATATCCATCTTTGTCAATATTCATATGTATGTTATTTCTTTGCTACCGCTTTATCGGCGTCTTCAGATTACAGTCCATTATATATACATAGCACATATACATATAAGTCTGTCTGCATAACTGGTTGCTCAGCGAAAACACTGTACACACTTGGTCCTCAAAACCGGTTGGCAAATGCAATTTATGCTTTGCTTTGTTTCGTTTGTTTTTCACATTTATGCCTTTCCTCAACAACTTGGACGCCAATTATGACCTGACCAGCTGATTAATGAAATTCTGGTTTTGCCACTCAAAGGTTGCATACAATCTGCTGTAGTAAAAACCCTGTAGAGATAATTACTACAATCGTTGTTAACTATAATGGGTTACATGTTTCTTTGCTATAAATCATTCATCTTCCATCTATTTGCCATATAGGCAATTGGTATTTTTTATCACGATGTTGTTCTATGAACTGTCAATTGTTCGACTATCTGCTTCATACTAGTTTTATACCAGTTCATTTAGGACTATTGAATTTCTACTACACCAAAAATTAAAAAAAAGCCAGCACAGCTAGGCCCGAGTCGTGAACCGAGCGCGCTAAAGCGAAAATCTCTCATCTCTCGACATCATGACGATGAAGAGATGGTCTTCATTTTACGTGCTAGATATAACAACAACACACGGTGGTGGAAAATTATTATTACTGCCCTTACTGGTGGACCGCCCATTAAACAGATAAGCAACTGGTATAATTTCATCTTAAAAATACTAATATTTAACTGGAATTTTTGTATACTAGTTCTCTCTGCAGGGTATGTACTTAGGTACATATGTACATAGGCATGTTTGAATCTATAATAGCTGTGAATACCTGTTTGCTTCTAAGTACACTTGAACTCCACACTGAACCTTTTGCTATTTCCTTTAGAACTTGTTCGCTATTAAAATTTGTTTAGGCTTCAAAGGGCGAAAGATTGACGTGGTTGTCGGTGGAAATTTATGGGTGAAGGAAAAAAATTTAGATTAGAATATAAATGAAAAAATAATATCTGTGGTGGAAGAAAAAATATTAAGATATGGAAATTTAAGCCAGAAAAAAAATGCAAAAAAGAAATATTAAAATATTATTTTTATTTCATCTTTGTATAAAAAAAAAAAACAATTGCAGAGTATTAAACAATATTTAAAAACTTATAATATAATTTATAAAATAATCAAATAAAATATAAGAGTAGTTTGTTGGATGAAAAATTATTGATTATTAAATTTAAGCAATATTTTTTTTTTAATTTTATTCTCATTTTTATTTCCTCTTCTTTACCTTTTCCAATGACAACTGCATTAGTAAAAGCAAATCAAAAAATAATAATTTTGGGGAAAAAATAATTTCACACAAATTTCATATTATCTATGACAATTGTTGCCTACGGATAATAGCAATCAATATACAATAATAAATATTGAAAGAAAAGCCCAAACAACTTTTCACACAACAAACGGCCCGCTTTCACTGAAATGTTTCTCTTTTATTTGCTGTGCTTTGATTGATTTTTTGTCAATGTGTTTTATTTTATTGACTAGCAGAGAAGTTATTTTTAAATATTTTTGTGATTTTAATTTCACTTATTTTTTGCTATTTTATGAACTTGTATAGAGACGTCAATAAAATCAATAAAATAACTTATTTTATCCATGTGTTGTTAAATTATATAATTTTGCTGAATTTATTTAAAAAATATTTGGCTTAATAAATCAATTTAAAAATTTCTGTTTATATAATTTTTATAAAAAAATTCATGCAAAATTAAATAAATATATATTTGGATTTGTATTAATAATTTTTTATACATATATTGTGTAAGAAAATTTGTTGTTTTTTTGGACAAGGAATTGAAATAAACTTTTTTTTTTAAATAAAATTAAGCAAACAAAAATTACTAGCGTACATTACTTCATCTCTATATACCACAGTCAGCCAAAAAAGTTAGCAATTTGTTATTGTTTTTGTTGTTAAGCACGTGCCTCAGCTTAAAATCACAAATAAAATGGAATTGTAAAGGAAATATGTAAACCGAAAATAAAAACTGTAGCAAAGTCAATCGTTTGACAGCATTAAAGCGTAATGATTATAAACCGTTACACAAAATACAGTAACAACATATGACACCTACAAAATGTGGTTTGAAAATAGAAAAATAAAGTAATAATAATTTATAGAAACGGAATTTTTGAAAGCGACTGCTTGTGTGCACAGTGGTGTGGTGATGTGGGCGTAGCGGGTTATGTTATAAATAAAAAATGGCGCTGTTGGTGGTAGCAAGTAACGAACTCAAAAACAATTTTAAAAAATATAAAAAAATTTAGAAAAGGGTGACCAATATTTGGTAAATAGCAAAAAATAAAGGGCAAAAAATATTGTTATAACAATGATGAACTTTAAATAATAATATGAGGGCTCATACTGATGAGCCTAAAGTAAGAGATGTGGTTTTGTAGAAAATTTAAATAACACTTTAAAAATGTGTACACAAATTATGAAAAAAGAGCCTTTTAAAAATAAGGAAGGACAAATATATTAAAAAATGATTAAAGTGAAAAAGTTCTCGGTAATTTAAAAATAATACTGGGAAAAAACTCAGCATAATTGAGATTTTGCAACAAATAAAAATAATTTCTAAACAAATAAATATAATAATTAAAAAAGTTAATTAAAGTAAATTAAAAAAATACTATGCAACTAAAAAAAATTATAGATAACAAAACTACTTTTTAAAAGGCGAACAAATATTTTAACAAATAAAAATATTTATAAGTGAAAAAAATAAATAAATATAAATAATTTACAAATAAAGTAAGTCAAAAAATATTAATCTTTATTTAATTCGCCCTAAATGTCAGTAAGCAGTTATTGAGGTAAATTAAAATTAAACAGCTAAGCATAAGTCACCAACCACAATTTGCGCCTGCGCATATCAAACAAATAACAAAAGCAAATCAAACGGAAACAAAAAAAAAATTACATAAAAATGGGTGTGCAAATTGGGTGTTGGCGTTAATGTTACTACATTTTTTGTTGTTGCTGCAGCATGAAGTGAGTAAGTATTGAAATTTTGCTAGCTATGCACACAGCTGTTAGTTCACAATAGCCAATTGGCTCTCAAAAGCCGCCACAATTGTGGTATTTAAATGCATTTACATTTTGAATCCGTTGCCACACAACAGAAAAAAGTTAAATATGATGAAAGAAAATTGTTGCATTTTCATTGTATTGAAGGTGATCCATTCACCGCCAGCACCCAGCAAAATAACTATTTCTAGCCAAAACAATTAAAAAAAAATTAAATAAAATAAAAAATGAATAAAATAAAATAAAAAAATAAATAAAATAAAATAAAAAAATAAATAAAATAAAATAAAAAAATAAATCAAATAAAATAAAAACATAAATAAAATAAAATAAAAAAATAAATAAAATTAAATAAATAAAATAAAATAAAATGAATAAATAAAATAAAATAAAATAAAATGAATAAAATAAAAAAAAATAAAAGAAAAGATATAAAATATAATAAAAAAATAAGAAATGAAGTAAACAAATAAAAAAGAAGATAAAAAATATTTAAAAATATAAGAAAAGTAAAAATAAAAAAATAAAATAGGAAATAAGATAAAATAAA